TATAAGAGTTATATATTAAAGGATATATCATATTTGTTTAATTAATATTGGTCAATAATTAATTAGGAATTAATTTTGTGATCAAGTGTAATTAATTAAAATAGAGGGGCTGAATTGTAATTATGTGATAGTTGCAAAATAGGGCAATGGTTATCCTTGTTTAAGGATGGATGAATTCAAGGATAAGGATATCCTTAAAATCGTCCAAGGTCCAAGAGATAAGGGTTTTCAAGGCTTATCTTGTGGTTGCTTGGTGGGCAAGTAACTGGATAAGGATATGGACTGAAACCCTAATCTAAACCCTATATAAAGACCCCTAAGCCTTGGGAATTCGTGTACATGCTTCTAAGAAGTCCCAAGGACGATTTCCACCTCCTCCCTTCTCTCTCTATAGCCTCTCCAATTGCTTGTGGTGTTTGTGAGCCATTAGAGGCACTACACTTATGGTGCTTGCTTTCAAGACTTAGGGTTTGAAGATTTAAGTTGTTATTGCAATATAACAACAAGAGGTATGTAATCTAACCTTGTATATTAATTTCGAAAATAGCATTGTTCTTTAGGGTTTTATTCTTGTGTTCATTATGTTGTCTATCTAATAGCAAAACATAGATCCAAATCTAGGGTTGCTTGCACACATAGGATTGTTTGTATAAAACCTATCACTTTCTTCATAGTATCTTGACAACATCCGCATTAATCGAACCCATTGCCAATACTATTTCAAATCCATTTAACTCAATATGCAACAATTCCTCATGGAATTTATTCACATTCAGGTTGATGATGATGTTCTTTATGCAATCACTAAGAGGTACGGATTTGCCACAAGCGACCTCTACTACTAGAGTATTATCTATTTTATCTACAGGAAATGTTAGTCTTCTACCAAATTTATGCAATATAAAGGAGTTAGCTCTAGATTCAAACAATATATTGGTTGGAAATTCATTTACTAGAAAGGTATCTGAAGCAACATCTACTTCCTCCCTTACTGCTTCTAGATTCATATGAATGCTCTCACCTTTGGCCTTGGCGGCACAGTAGTCTTTGCAACCTCCTTCTTCTTTGCATAGTCCTTTGCAATATGTCCTTCTCCATTACATCTGTAACATACCTTTTTGTTGGATGTACACTCGTTGGCATAATGACCAGTCCTACTAAACTTGTAATAGGTCAACTCTTCGCCACATTTCCTAGAGTGCTTCTTCTTGCACTTCTCGCACCATTTTGATTATCCTCCACCTTCAAACTTTTTGGGACCAGGTTTTGAAATTTTCTCTTCTTGATGGAATTTGATGATCCCTCAAACTTTCTCTTCTCTCCTACCTCCGCTCTCTCTAGACCTTTTTCCCTAACTTGGGTCTCCAAGTTCCTTACTGACCGGATGTAGGGATCAGACCGTTGGTTTCCATTAACATTTCCTAATCCGATGTGTGTTCTGACCATGACGTTTTATATACCAAAGTACACGTTCATTGTAAAGTGACAAGAACTGAGATAGGGAAGGCTTTATTTACGATAGACGTATAAATCTTCTTATTACTCCGAAAAATTATATGTCAATTCTAATATCGTAATTAAACATTCAAAAACCTGAACAAATATAATTTCCAAATCTGATCGGCAATAGACCATAGATCCGATCAAAGAATTGCATCTAAAAGCATATAAGGCATCTTATAGCAATAACACAAATCATTTAGCACATAAAAGAAAATTAGGCATATTTCCTAAAATAAGCTAATGCTCGTGTCTATTCATACATACTTCCTAAATATAGCATGCACTCATCTTACAATCATCAGTTAGCATTCTAAGATTAGGTCTAGAAATACCACAAATTCCTAGTTTGCTTAAAGTAATGCTCTGATACCAACTGTGACATCCCCAATTTGCCGTAAAAAACACTAATTTGTTTATGCTTATTTAAAATCAGAGAATCCTTTTTTGAAGAATAATATTGTGGACTTTTTTCCCAAAAACATGACAATGATATTATCAAAACATTTCTGAATAAATGCAATTTATTTATATTAAAAACTTTCGGATGTCATCGTCAGTCAATACTATACATAAGCATAAACAGAAATAATACAAGCCTTACATACATCTCTTGTTCTATTGGCTTATAATCCATAAATCTCTCATCTATCATCATGCCTATGCTCTCGTGCCACTACCTGTAATACAAGAAACTTAGTGGGTGAGGCTTGGGATCCTGGTGAGCTCATAGGGCTTTCAAACCATAATAATTAAATTCTTTTAATTATATATGTTTTCATCAAATCATTCAACCTGATTACACGTTCCTATTATCCTCACTTTCTGTCCCTAAAGCATCTAATTCAAGGTACCTATCATAAGGATCATCTTTGGGATAAACAATGTGACATCCCCAAATTCACGATCATTTGAAAATTTTTATTTATGCTTATTTAAAAATCAGAGTATTCATTTTAAAGAGTAATATTGTGGAATTTGTCCCCAGAAAATATGATAAATATATTATCAAAGAATTTCCGAAGAAATGTATTTTGTTTATATTAAAACTTTGGGATGTCATTCTTAATACAGAAACATAAGCATAAACAGACCTTACACTAATGCTTTACATATCCTTTAATATATAAGTGTAATGTATTTTCAAATCGACACCTACGATATAAATAAACTGAGTGTGTTAGGTTGGGAAACCTGGTGAGTACATTGGGTTTTTAACCCATAATAATATAGTTAATTTGTTTCTTCACATAATTCATGTCAACAATTAACTCAATTACCCATCCCTATTTTCTTCATTTAATCCTCCCTAAAGATTTATCCTAAGGTTCATCTCCTATATCGTATTTACCTCTCATCTCCTTACATCATATTTTCTTATATAATTGTTCCTAAGGACTTTTCCTAAGGATCATCGCCTATATCGCATAAACAGTATTGATTCGAGGATTACTCCCTCAATACGTGTCTAGTAAGGGTTAGAGTATCATCATATGAATACGTAGTTACAACATCACCTGAACTCGTCATTCATCACCTACAGGTTATGAGCCTGCTGTTGTTTCCACATGACTTGTTTAGATTAGTCAGTGGTCGCCATCTATACTCTGGTAGATGACTACATCACAACATGGTAACATCGCAGGTCAAGGTTATGGCATCTCCTCTCATTTCACATCACCTATTATCATCACCTATCTATCATCACCTTTCTATCATCACCTTTCTCTCATCACCCTTCGCTACCAAATATATATTTATAAGTACTAGCCGTTTACCCGCGCAAAGCGTCGGGCGGCAAAAAGTTTCTTTCGGAAGATAGTTTTAATGTGATGATTAGTTTCCTTTAGACGTGAGCTATTCATTGCGGCCATTTGTTAGTACCATTTAATTAATATCATGAAAGACTAAAAAAATTTAAATAAAAAAAGGTTATATTACAATTTTCATTCCAATCCATGACGGAATGAAAATTAACAAAATGGAAGGAATCAAAATTCAAATGCCTTTGGGAATGCTCAATTCCATTCCATTCTTCTGATTCCATCATACCAAACAAAACAAAATAATTCTTAATGTAAAAAAATAACTCGATAATAAATGAAATAAAAAAAAGATATTACCAGGACTTCAAAACTAAGTTTATTAAATAAATAAACAAGAAAGGTATAAATGGCAAAGGAGAAAAGTAAGCTACCCTTCTTTTTGGCAAAAGCCTGAACCAAGGACAGTAGAAATGATAGTGGCTTCCAAGAGCTTGAGGCAATAGGGTATTCCCATGTTACTCGTTCACCAGATTCTTTAAATAATAACCTACGAAAAGCAGAATTCATTTTGAACATGTATATACCAATTAGTAATTGATCAATATATAGAAAATAAAACAAAACTTAAAAAATACAACAAATAGTAAAGTAATCTGATACCTCATTATTTGCAGCATTTAAGAAAACTTTACCGGAAATTTTTTAGCTAAAAACAGTAAATTCTCTAGTGAAATAAAACCGCAACCCCTATAGAAAAAAAAAACTCCATCAGAAAAACATTTTGTATAAAAATAGGAGATTTGATAGAATATAGAATAGTCTGTTTCTTTTTTGGACCGAATGTAATGTTTGAGTAAATGACCTTTTTACCCGTCTATTTGTAATCATACCAACAAACAATTTATATTTTTTTTCTACATTCATAACTAATATGTTATCATGAACAAAATAGATATTTGTATTTATCAAGAAATTCAAATAATTAAATAAAAAAATGCAATTGAACCTAAAGTCGGTTGATGGATTGACTCTTTGCCACCCCATATCCTTCCAATGCTCTGAGGTCAAACATTGAAGTTTAACATCTGGATATGCTAAATACCACAAATCTATAAGAACTTTCTGTTGACAACATAAATTATTATTTATGTTAACTATTTTCCAAAGTAATGATTATTCATTATTATAAACAAAAATCTAAAGTAGTGTTGAAATATACTTGATGTTCAAGGCTTTCTTCATCAAATGGTAGGTTCAATCTTTCTTGAAGCCTTTGAAGACGCTCCTTTTGAAACAAGTTGCATAAAAATTTGTTATCTCCTAACTTTTTTTTCCAAATTTGTCCTCAAATATAATTTTATCCAAACAACACTTTATGAATTACCTATATAGGAGTGAGAGTGTAATCCAAATATTTATTACTTTCAAAGCACTTAAGGCCTGAGCATCTAAAAATTCCTCCGATCAGAGTTCGTGATCCAACCATGACATCAGCTAAATTCAATACATGGAAAAGAAAATAAAAAGCTTTAATTTTGATATGACAAGATTACCCTTTAGGCCTTGTCTGATCATCTAGTCTCAGACTCTCGATTATATTAAAAAGATGGAAACTTTTGTTTCCACTTAATGCATGAATTTGTCCTCATTTGGTTAATGTTGTTACATAATTATGCATTTAACCCAATGTTAAATTACAACAAATAAATAAGAAAATTTTCACTCACTAATTCATTAAGCTAATTGTGATTTTGTGGCAACATAATCATGCGAAAATTTCAAGATATTCCCTTTCTTGAATCTCCAATGATAATAGTCATCTTCATCAACCTGGTTTGGAATTAGAAACAAATATATTAATCACAAAGGAAATAAAGTTACAAATGGGGGATCCAGAGAGGAATCAAAGGGTAATTAGACCTTTTTTGAACAAAGGAAATGATTAAGTAAAGGGGAAAAGACATAATGAGATTATGAGACAATACCCAAATGATAAACCATATAGTCCATGAAGATGCAAAATCATGTGCCTGCACTTGATTTCAAGTTCAAGTTCAAGTTTAGTAAAACTAAAACAAACATACTGTAACGTTATTGCAAAACTATAACTCTAATTGTACCTTAACAACAGACAAATAGGAGTCAGTTACGCCAACATATTTCCCAACCATTGTAATCTTCACCTGCAACACGAAGTTTAATCTTCTTTCAGGCAGACAAGTAGGAACTGAACTACAGTAGTAAGTAGTAAAGGAGGAAAATGATACCAACATAATTGGTGAGGTTGTCAAAAGTTTATGCCCTGTTAGTCCACTCTTGTAAATTTAGCGTTCTTGCTAAACTAAAGCACACACACACACACAGAGAGAGAGAAAGAGATAATAAATATTATCAGATTCCTTCTACACGTACTATTGACAATAAATATGTGCTCACCGTAGTAGTTCTGGCTGTTTCATGTATATTAAGAATGTTGGTAGCCTGTTTGTTGATAAAATCAATCAATCAATCAGAAATGAATAGCACAAAGCCAAGGACAACCTATTAACTAGAAACTTACAGGTACATGACAAAATTGTGAGAGTTTCTGCTTTGTGTTTTCCAACAATGGCTGCAAGGTAAACCAATACTTTTATTGCGTAAGTCTTAACTCTTAACCACAACACACTCATTCATAAATCATACCTGAGCTGAACGACATGCTAAAAAGTGAGGGGTTAGGCCTAAAGCTCGCAGTTCCCGGACATTGTGATGTGTAGGCTTAGTTTTCTGAAGAAAAAAAAACAATAGGATGATCATAAAGTATATTTCTTTCTTCAAATTTCAAACATCAATAGTAGCATATTCATTACCTGTTCCCCAACAACACCAAGAACTGGTACAAGGCTAACATGAATGAGGCAGAAATTATCTGGTTCTGAAGAAAGAAAAAAAGCAGAATCAACTATGCATTAACTTTTGATGCATTGTATGGTAATGGTAAACTCACCTGTAGAGAAAAATAGTTGGCTCAACGCCTCGATGAAGGGCTTTTTCTCAATGTCACCTTCTTGTAAATTCTAGAAATATTATCACATTCGCTGTAAAGCGGTTCAAGAGTCACCATCTCAAACCCAAATCGACCAGTTCCGTGTAATCCTCCTCGTACAGCTCAGGAGCCATGAATTCAGGTGTCCCCAGTATTGAATGTGCATAATGGCTCTTACCAACTATTGCAGCAAAACACAAATTGCCAATTTTTACCTAATATGTATATATCTATTCATTAATTAATTATATATTTATTATTTAAAATGTTTAAAACCAATCCTTTATTAGATCAATATTTGTACCTCGCTGATATTGCCATTGATGAAGACGTTGCTGCAATTGAGATCTGTGTGAATGATACAGGGTTCATGCATGTGTAGATAATCTAAGCCTTTCAATATTTTCCATGATCACTTCTTCAAGGCCTGCATCGAAACCTATAGCGTCCGTACCTGCCGCTCGGATCCACCTCCACAAACGCTTCCGAATCCAATTCCATTGCTGGCATCACAAGCTGTTTCAGGTTATATAACGAATCAAATACACGAATGAACGGAATTTTACATTAAGAAAAAGATAAAAGTAGATAGACAGAAAAGAAACGACATATGATGATGAAGTAGTACCATGAAGAGCGCGGAGGAAATGTGTCGGCCATCGGAGTTCCTTAATTCAGGAGCAGTCAGCTGAGACGGGGGAAAATGTAAAAGGCGTGTCAATAGAAGGAGGGTTTATAGGTTTCGATGTAGGTCAAAGAGAATTCCTCAGTCACAGCTAGAAGAGTTAGGTATTTTTCTTGTTTATGGTGTGGGATGTCTGGTGGCTATGGAGGGGACACTCTCGGGTTAGGGATTGAAGTTTATAGTGTCCAATGGTGGCAGCGGGATAGAGTTTGGGTTTCTAGGTAGAAGCAGGGCTGCAGACGACGCCTGAAGGTAACGACAAGAATCAAATGGGGGCTTTTCTTGTTTATGGTGTGCGATGTCTGGTGGCGATGGAGGGGACAATGTCGGCAGGATGGCGATAGCGACGACAATAGGAGGGTGGTGGTAATGGAAGCCTATCGAAGATTGAAGAAAGTGAGGAGGTAGATGGAATAGATTTGGAAGAAGTTTTTGGAAGAAGTTTTTGGAAGAAACAATGCTGATAGTGTCTAGAGGCGTAACGCCCGTAGATCCGGGCTAGTCAAATTAGAGGCAATAAGGGTCGCAAATGAATTTTCGGAAAAATATTAATTAGAACAAATAACCTTAACCAAGTTGTAATATATGTTACAAGGTTCCCGTACATATAAAGAACACCGAAATCCGAGTTATAACGAAGAAGTTATGACTCGTTGAAGCTTCGCGACGGAACCGACACGATACCGGGAAGTGTAAATAGTGAATTTACGATAGAGCGGGATTTAGCCTTAGCGATCTAAATGAAAGTCATAGAATATGTTAAAATAAGAACATCGATAAAAAGAACGCCCAAATCTGACTTCGTATGAAGAAGTTATGATTTTTTGAAGTTTCAAGTTAGCAGTGTATAGCCCGAAATTTGAATACTAGATCGAGCGGTTTTAGCCGACACGAGCTAAACGAGAATTGAAGATGTCGTTAAAAGTAGCGTAACGAGAAAATGATGGGCGAAAATGGACGTCGGAGGAAGAAGTTATGAGGATTTAACGGACCAATCCTGTCCCGGCATGTTAATAATATAAAATTTAAAATCGAGTCAAAATTAGCCGACGGTGTCTGAAAGAAAGTTGTAGAGTACATTCCCACCTTCGCGTGGATATAAAAAACGTCGAAAACGGAGCTTGTACGCGAAAGTTACGAATTTTTAAAGTTGCATAGTGAACTTGCGAAGCTGATGCATGAAATGATGACGTGGCCGAACTCCCAGCCGTCGGATGAAATCGCTTCAGATGGTGACCCCTGGTGCGAGGGTTACGCCCAGCGTAGCGAAGAGATGCCTAGCGTCCGGAGTACGCCCCGCGTACTTCGGTTCTTATCCGTCCGATGGAGTGCAAGACAGCTGGTCCGAGGTGGCATGCTTATCCGAGCACTACGCCCAGCGTAGCCAAGGACTACGCCTAGCGTACTCCAAGGCCTCGCTGGGTATAAAAAGGGGCAAGGATCTCCAACATTTTCACACCAATTCTCTTTCTCTCTCTAACTTCTTTCTCTCTCTAGGGTTCCAAACCCCTCCTAAACCCTAGATAAGGCCCCAAGCACCCTAAGGAAGCCCCGAGGCTCCCGGAGTCCCGAGAAAAAGAGCCTTCGATTTCGAAATGTTGCTCCAATTAAGTTCCGGTTTTCGATAAAATTCGTTGTAAGTGTGTTACGCTTACGCAATTTTTAATATAGCTTTCAAATAATTATAGGAATGTTATTAGGTCCTTAAAATAATTATTTGGGCTATTATTATGAGTTATATTGAGTGTTATTAACGCTTATATAATAATAATAATAGTCAGACTGATTAAATTGTCGCGGTTATCGTTAGACTAAACCCTAGTGGTATTGGTACTAGGTTTTATCGAAGGAAAATCGTTTTAAGAGTATCGAAGCGATGTCTGAGTGCTGAGTCACCACCTTTCAAGTGAGTACATAGTCTCTTTCATGAACATGATTTTAATACAAGTATTGATTGAAGTATTAATTATATGTTTATGTGCGAGTTAATTGATGTTGCCTGAAATACGTGTTAAAGAACATACCTGATTATATTTGATAATTTAGGATAAAGAGTAGACCTAAATTAATTATGAGGAATATTGGGTAGTATTTCTTACGAGTACAAGTGAGTTATACTCAGAGAATAGAAATTTAGTATATGTCATTTATCCGAGAGCATGGATTAGACACAGTCATTGTCCCTAGTCCGAGAGTATGGATTGGACATAGTCAACTGTCATTAATTCAAGGGTATGTATTAAGACATAGTCAGTTGTACTTAGTCCGGGAGTATAGATTAAGACATAATCATCCGTCCTTAGTCCGGGAGTATGGATTAAGACATAGTCATCTGTCCCTAGTCTGAGAGTATGGATTAGATATAATTCTTTGTCATTAATTCGAGAGTATGGATTAGACATTCATCCCTAGTCCGAGAGTATGGATTAGGTAAAGTCGTTCATTTCTGATCCAGGAGTATGGATTACGTAAAATGACTAATCTTAGGTCCGAGAGTATGGATAGTCTCGTTGTGAGGATTGACGGGGTGGGATAAGATTTGTTTTATATATATGGTGAAAATGTATATTTTGTGAGTTTTATACTATATATAAGATATAACATTGTGGGAATTGAAATCCCTATGTACTCACCAGGTTTCCCAACCTGACCCACTCAGTTTATTTACATCACAGGTGTTGATATGAAGTCACATTACACTGAGAGATTAAAGAGATGTAGATCACTAGTGTAAATAAATGTAAGTTCCATTTATGCTTATGTTTCCGTATTGACGATGACATCCCAAACGTTTTAACATAAATAAACTACGTTTCTTCGAAAATGTTTTTATAACTTATTTATCGTGTTTTTCTGGGAACAAATTCTGCAATATTTTTAAGAAAAGATGTACTCTGATTTTTACAAAGCATAAACAAAACTGGTCTTTTCTGGCCGTGAAAAATGGGGATGTCACAGTTGGTATCAGAGCATTAGTTTAAGCGAACTAAGAATATGGATTTATTTCTACACTTAAACTTAGAATGCTAAGCGATGATTGTGAGGTGTGAGCACTAGATTATTTTAGGGATTGTGCCTAAATTGCTTTTATGTGCTAAATGCTTGTGCTTGATATGCTGTTATTTATTCGGATCTATGGTCTATTTCCGACCGGATCCGGAAACCTTGTGTGTTTAGGATTCTAAGCGTTTAACTCCGATATTAGAACTAGCATATAAACGTTTCGGGGTGAGAAGGATGATTTAAACGTCAATCCTAAATAAAGATCTAGATTCACCTTGTTTGGTGTATAGATCACGAAGCTAAGGACCCGTAGCGGAAACGTGAATGCAAATGGGAACTGAGATCAGCCCCCGGTGATTGAGTAGATACCGGTTGTGTTAGCCGTTGCTGAGCCAATAACGATGGCCGGAGTGAAAGCGATGATCCAGGCGATGTTAGATCGTCAAATGAAGTAAACAAGGCGTTTACTTCAACAAACTCGAGAGGAACTTACGATGCCTATTGAGCAGCCCGATAAGGTGCCATCTTTATGCTCTAGTGGAAACTATTATTGTAGGACAATTCTACCAAAGGTAAATGTTCATCCCAGTTACCTAGGAATTCCAGTGTACATTCTCTCGGCATATCTTCAAGTGTTTGTATTGTTCTTTCACTCTGACCATCAGTTTGTGGATGGTAAGCTGTACTTAAACACAACTTGGTACTCATTTCCTCTTGTAGACTTTTCCAAAACCTTGAGGTGAAACTGCTATCACGATCCGATACAATCGTTAATGGAACACCGTGAAGCCTCACAATTTCTTTCACATAAGAATTCACAAGCTTATCCATAGACCATTTCTCCTTGGCTGCTATGAAATGCGCACTCTTAGTGAACCGATCAACGACTAACCCAAATCATGTCGTGACCACTTTTCGTTCTAGGTAGTTTAGTGACAAAATCCATTGCATAGGCACAGGTAAAGGTTCTAAACTCCCATATGGTTTCTGATGTTGTGTCTTGACTCTCGCACAAGTCACACACTCGGCCACATACTTTGCAACATCAAGCTTCATCGTTGGCCACCAGTAGTTGGGTTTCAGGTCTCTATACATTTTAGTGCTACCAGGATGAATCGAGTACATGGTTTTGTGAGCTTCTTCCATCAGAAGATCTCTAATTCCTCCTGACTTAGGTACCCAAATACGATCTTGGAATACCTTCAGTCCATGACCGTTTGTACCAAACACCAACGTTTTTCCCAAACGTTCCTCCTTTCAGGCATTCTTCTCCGAAGCTTCCTCTTGATATTTCTTTATACTCTCCACAATTGTCGAGACAACTTCTATTCTCAACGCTCTTGTACTCTTCCTTTCAAGATTGACTTTCCGACTGAGAGCATCAGCAACAACATTAGCTTTATCAGGGTGGTAAAGTATCTCATAGTCGTAGTCCTTAAGTAACACTAGCTAGCGTCGTTGCCTCATATTCAATTCTTTCTGATTAAAGAGATATTGGAGACTCTTATGATCAGTGAAAATTTTACACTTTGTGCCATAGACGTAATGCCTCCATATTTTCAGAGCGAAAACTATCGCTGCCAACTCCAAATCATGAGTCGGGTAATTCTTTTCATGCTCCTTCATCTGTCGAGACGCATATGCTATCACCTTTTCTCTTTGGGTCAAAACACAACCCAATCCAACCCAAGACGCATCGCTATAAACAGCGAAGTCTTCAACTCCATCGGGTAAAGAAAGTATTGGTGCCTTGCATAACTTCGTCTTTAGCTTCTCAAATGCTTCTTTATGCTTATCATTCCAAGCATAAGTAGCTCCTTTG